TTTGACTGCAGAAGAGAAAATGTGCTTTGGCAGCTCAGAGAAGCCGTCGTAGGCGAAGCTCTCGCCCCGCGTTTGTCCCTGTGGTCCGTGTCCTGTCTTTGCCTCTCTGCTGTCCCATAAGCTTCCTCTGCACTTGCTGAGATACGCTGAGCTCCTCTCTTTTCCCCATCTCGGGACACTAAGCCTCCATCTTGCCCTGGCTGCTCTTTGAGGCACGCACTGTCCACCTAATTGTGTGTGAAGCTGTTTCTGACCACGTCGTCTAAATTTTCAACCTTTCCCACCCCCACCCACCACAGCTCATATGCCCCTGGCCCGCTTCATTGTGTTTTCTCTTCAGCATTTATAGTTTGGCAGACTACATAGGTCGTTTATTTATCTTGTTTACTGGACGTCTCCCCCACCAGAATGTAAGTTTCAGGACAGAGATTTTGTTCTGTTCAGTGATGTATGTCACGCACCTAGGATGGTGCCTGATACGTGTCTAGTAAGTGCTAAACAGTTGCTTGTTGAGAAACTGAGTGCCAACACGCCTGACTCCCAGTGCACGCTTTTTTTTCTCTTTAGATCGCACTTATCATCCAAAGGGATGTGTTAAGAAATAAACATTGCTTTGCAAAAATACTCAGTACAATTCCTTCAAATAGCAATCTCTGTTAAAGCATTTAAAATTATTTAATTTATCGCAATTCAGTTTAGGTATGTTTCAGTAATATAGCTTCTTTATCAATGCACATGTGCCTGTGTAGCCTTTTAGTAAACGATAATGTGTATGTATTCCTCCAACTATATTTACCAACACAAGTGCGCATATATGCTTATATTTACATTTCCAGTAGTTATTCTATATACAGTATATTGTTCAGTAATCTTTTTCCCATAATATATTTTAGACATCTTTCTAGCACCCTTTATATGAAAAAAAATTTGGGGGGGGATGCTGTCTGGTACTGGAATCGAACCGTTGACCTTGGTGTTAGAAGCCTCTATCATTCTTTGGTGCAGTAGACTTTTTTTTTTTTTTTGGCACCTGGCTGGTGTGGGATCTGAACTCTTGCCCTTGGTATTACCAGGCTGTACTCAAAACAACTGAACTAATCCATGAGATCAATAATGTCCATGAGACTGAACATGGTGGACATGTTTTTAATCTCCAGATTCTGACCAGCAGGTTACTATTTCTGAAGCATTGTGTTGACTGACGACTAAAAAGTCAAGAGATGACCTGGCTCATCAGTGGTTTGAGAATGATGTCCTTGCTGAGGCTTTCAAAGAAATTAAGGATCGAGAATTTGAGACGGTGAGATTCCTGGTCATAAAAATTTCTGTTCAGTTAGTATTTATTAAACTTTATTTTTGTAAGAATAGTTTTAGGTTTGCAAAATAGTTGAGAAGATGGTACAGAGTTCAGGTGTGTCTGGCACCCAGTTCCCTCTATGATTAACATCTTACATTAGTGTGGTGCATTGGTTAAAATTAATGAATGGATATGGATGCATTATTACGTACTTTATTCAGATTTCCTTAGTTTTCACCTAATGTCTCTTTTATTTTCCAGCATCCCTTTGGGGCTATATTGCACTGATTCATCGTGTCTCCTTAGGCTCCTCTGCACTGTGAGTGTCTCAAACTTTCCTTGCTTTCGTGGTCTTGACAGGTTTGAGGAGCACTGCTCAGGTATTTTGTAGAACATCCCTCAGTTGGGATTTGTCTGACATTTTTCTCATTATTAGACTGAGGTTTCATGTTTTTGGGGAGGAAGGTCACAGAGGTGAAGTGGCCGTCTCATCACATCGTATCAAATGTACATGCTACCAACACGACACTTC